CTTAAAGAAAAAATAATTTATTGTAGTTTGAAAAAGCTCTCCAGGTAAGCTATAAGAATGTGTAATAAAAAATGGAGGCTTTCATTTAAAAAATTTAAAGTAATCTTGGTTAACCTCGACGCTATCCAAGGTCAAGCCTATGATATTATCTTGTGGTACTACATACCTCGAAGTCGCATTACTTTATGTCTGACACTTTTTTTAATTTCAGAATTTCTTTTCGAGATATTCTAGCGGGGCGATTAAAATTAAACATATATTATATTATTTGATATGTATTTTTTTAAATTGAAAATTTGATATGAAAATTGTATTATTATTGTTTTTATGAATCACGTTACATACAAGATCATAAATGCTTTAATTTTAAACCCACTAGAAAAGAAGTCGTGAAATTAAAAAAAGTGTCAGACATAAAATTATGCGAATTCGAGGGAAACACAAGGTGGTCCATAGGTTTGACCTTAGGTGGCGTCGTCGAGGTCAGAGTAAGGGGCTACGCAGAATAAAGGAACAGGGAACAGAGAACAGAGAATAAGAATTTCAACCTATCAGAAATCATATACTGTGGAATAAACAGTGTGTATTCCATAGTACATGATTTCTGATAGGTTGAAATTCTTATTCTCTGTTCTCTGTTCCCTGTTTCTTTTATTCTGCGCAATCCTAAGGTTACTTTCTCTCTTTTTCAATGCGAAGTAAGGTGTACCATTTTCTTTGTTTATAATTGTTAGTTATCTTGGTATTTATTGGTTGGAGAATTTTTTAAATATTTTTCTCGTATTCCTCGCTAAAAATGTGCTTTTGAAAATTATTTTTTATTTTAAGAGTTCATAGTTATTGTAATTGTCCCCCAGTATACAGGTCTATTTGAATAATTTTCTACGAAAATCTGTGTAAGATCGATGAAGTTTTTCGTCTTCTTATTCGAATAGAGATTTGGATTGCTCTTTGGATTATTCTCAGAAAATATGGGAATGTTAAGTTGACAAAAGTGAAATATGATGTGCCACTTATTTAGAGCATGTAAACTTTTAATTTCGTCTCCCATATTATATCATTAAAATTGTGCGTATGATTTTAAAATCATTCTCTCTCACACACATTTTTAAACTTTTCTACGATTGTGAAAAAATTGTAATTAGAATAAATCTATTTTTTGAAAGAGTAAAAAAATTTCATATAAATTTATATGAAAAAAGTTTCATATGTTAATTAATTGATTATTAATTTAACAAAAAGCAAAAAGGTCAATAAGACTAGTTTTGACCCCTAATTAATTTTTATTAAAGAATTTTTTTTATATTGTACAATTATTTATAGAAATATCAGAAATATATATATTGTATAATATATATATATATATTTCTATATTTATTATATATTTATTTCTATATTCTGTATTTAAATGTGTGTGTGTATGTATATACGAGGATAGATAAAAAATAAACGAAAATTTCACTCTGGAGCTTAGAGACAGTATAGTAGGGCAATGTAACTTTAAGGATGTTTTGGTGGGAATTTCTAGCTTGAGAATGTTTTCTTATCAGTAGAACAGTCTGCAATAAAATAGGCGAGAAAGAGGTTTATCCGTTCATTGCACAACGGATCATAATTTAATTTCTGACGAAGGAGGGGGTTTGGTCTGCTGAAATTCTCCGTAGATTACGCCAACAATTTGGAGAAACAGCCCTTTCACAGCCCCGTGTGTTCTTTTGGCACGAACTTTCTCTGGAGGACGAGAGAGAATCGAAAATGAGAGTCACGATTGCCGTCCCAGGACGAGTTTAACGGAAAACAATATTCGTGCGGTTCGTGACCTTCTGGAAACCAATCGACGCATTACATGCTACTCCTTGACGAAGTTAAGGCTGCTTTTCGAACCAAAAGACGATGCCAACCGATCAGAGATGTAATTTGCTCCACGACAACGCTCGGCCATACATAACGAATCAAACGCATAAAAAATTGGAGCAAATTCCCTGGATTGCACGTAAACACCCCTCCTACAGTCCAGACTTAAATCAATATGATTTTCACATGTTTGGATCCCTGAAAAAAAAGCATTAGGAGGCAAGTGTTTTGTGGACGACGCAGGAATAAAAGCCTTCATGCGCAATTGTCTTACAACATAACCACCTTCCTTTTATAAAGACGGCATAAAGAAACTTCCAATTAGATGAGGAAAAGATATTAAAAAATAAATTGACAAAAACGTATAAAAGTAATAATTATATCCATAGGAATAAAATTAATTCCCGAATTTATTATTTATTAATTACGAGAGATAAGAATGAAGAAGAAGATGTAAAAATTAGGAAAGATTTGTATTGTTAAATATTACTTTTGTTTAAATTTATTTGACAATTGTGTGATAAGATCTTAATCAATGTAATAAAACAAAGGCTAATAATTGCATTTAACGTTAAAAACATTAAATATCTATTGTGAATATGAGTTAAAACAACATTTAAATGATTCGATACACTAAAACTAAATGAATTAACTTGACTTCGGAAAAGCAGCAACATTTCGAGGTTTACCTCAATCGATCGGCCTTATTTGCCAGGACGGATCGTTAATTCTATTTCTACTAACTGCTCTAAAAATAATTTATTAATTCTGTTTTATTAAAACGTGTATGCTTTGTATTGCTCTCTTTATATATAATTTATAATTTTTAAGTTTATAATATTTTATACATACACACATCATGAAGTGTTAATTCAGTACATCTATGGTACATCTACACATATCAGTACACGCATATTAATTTAACAAATAAATGTATTTACAAGTAATAAAAATTTTGCACTTTTATCTGCAGAGTCACACATACCTGCTTTAGTAAAAGTGTATTGCACAAACAAAGATGCATCAAAATTTAAATAAACATTCTTGCTAACAGATGTGCACATTACACCAACACATAATATCTACGAATTTGATATGTCATGTCTATTTTTGAATGTTTAGTTTGCAGTTACAGTTTTTATTTTCATTTTTTAAACACATTTCAATAATTAAATCGTTCCATGAATGGAATGCTATGAATATTATAGTGAAGCGTAAAATTTATTAAATGTAAATACTATGCTAGTTCATGTATACATTTACTAATAACGAAAGGTACCCAAGTATATCCCTCTCCGATTTTGATAAAGAATATATTGCTTCTAAACAAGAGTAAAACATTTTTTTATACGTGTAGATCGCACTTTTTTTAATGGCTGAAACATTCGTTAAAAAAACAATTCTATTTCGAAACAAATATCAAAGCTATGACCTAGACAGCATAGAATGTTTATAAAATATTTAAAAGATATATTTGAATATTTACAAAATATATATCAAAATGTTTTTCAAATATATTTTTGTGATCTTATTGTTAGACTACACAAATCATAAAGTTTTATTATAAATGTTATGAAATATTATAAAATACTTATCATAAATGTTGTGATAATTATGAGAAAATGTTTAATAAAACATTATAATCCCGGTAAAAAATTAATTAATCCAGTTTTATTGTTAAAACACGTATTACTGACTAGCATCATATTCCAGAATACGACAAAATTATAATAAAAAAGCAGTTTTTCTTGAATTAATTCCATTTCAATAAATACAAGATGGTACATTTTACATTCAAATCAGATATTTACTAAATGTAATAGATACATGTTCCAATAATTTCAGTTATGATATCCGGCTGATGACGCGTTGCTATATAATATATATATATATTCATTTTGTTAACGTTATTCTCTAATTATTTCAAATCGTACTTGATAAACGCAATTATCGTAATTAAAATTATATGGAACTGATGTATATTGAACCTATTATACGCGCGGAGGAAAAAAATGGTTATAAACATTAATCCTATGCAATAACGGTGTTATGATTTTGCAATTCCATTTGCAAACGTAGAGATCACAAATTATTTGCAGGTGTAACAATAAATATTTATTCTGTTTCATTCTCGCTACAAAAATTATTTACAACAAAATATTTGTTAAATATACAAAATTGTTTGCTATAAATATTACTAACAAATTTGATTAAATTTCTTTCGCGTTCATAGCAAATCTTCTCTCCTTGTACATTTAGATCTCCCGTAAATTAAACGTAGGTACTTATCATGTATATTATCGTGCTTTTTATTGGGACTTATCTTAATGGGACTCGAACTTGAGACCTCTGGATCATGAATTTTCTGCCTTACGTGCTACACCATTTTTTCAATTGATAAACGTGTTATTTATTATCTATTTATGTTATAATCAAATCATATACATTTAATATACCACGTTTATATTATACATGTTATTCCTATAAATATACATTATTATTATATTTTCTTTTTCTTATTAGGTATGTGCGCTTAATTTTTTATTAACGTATTTAAATAGTATATTATATCTGAATATTAAATCCAGATATGACATATCACATTTAAACACGTTAATAATTCTTAATTATGTTATTTAAAGGAATATTTTTCGTAAATTTAAAACTTTTATGTAATTTTTTAATAATAGAATATTACACTATTTTGCCGGGCAATGCCGGATACCGGATATTGCTCAGATATGCGGTGCCTCTTTATTTTATATCATAATCAATTTTATACTTGCGTTTGACAAACGCATAATATATTAACATTGAGAACATCTTCGTATTAACATTTTCAACTTAAAAATTAAAATTAAATTTCAAGGACATAATAGATAATGTAATAATTGCAGGATAATTTTTTGTATAATTTTCTCTTTTTGTTTCCCCCTCCCCACTTTCTCTCTTTCTTCCTCTCTTTTTATATTTTTTTTATATAATTATGCTAAGAATAAGTGAAATATTGAGTGTATTTATGTGTTATTATAATAAGGATTTGAGAAATACAATGGTCGTTGGCTGCGAAAAGCTTTTTCTATAGACGATTACAATCATATAAGCTAAATAATATCATAATTGACAATATTATTTTCTGTTTTTAGATGGTGACGACTATTTGTCTGTGCTAAGATGACAATGAAATGCTGAAGAACTTTCTGTTCATGAAAATGGATGAAGAAGGCTGTTCTTGTGGATGAACATTAGTAAAAGTATTAGTAAAGGGACATACTTACACAACGAATAGCAAAAGCCTGCCTCGTCCATTACGATCAGCTACATATCTCACATTAAGGTATATTAATATATGTATATGCAATATTAAAATAATCTATTACCCTGATAGCAGAATGCTAGCAAATTGCGAACAAATGATAGCAAATAAGTAATCATATCCATGCCATATGTGTGCGCATTTGATTATGAATCTGTCGAATTATATTGTATCACTGCACCGACGAGATACTATTAAACGCTCGGCACATTTTTATGACTATCAATGGGAGTCCGGGAATAATTGAAGAACGATGACATTATCGATAATTATTAAAAATTGGCGATTATTAAAAAACAAATATTTTGATAATACATTATTAAATCCGTGATTTTTTATTATAAATGCTGTATAAATAAATACACATACTTTTAACGCCATAATATGTAATATTTCCGAAAAATTACAGTTTTTTCTGTGCAGTTATCATCTCTATTGATAATAATCAAACTCGATTGATAACGTTAATAAAATCACAGTTTTTAATAAAAATAGAGTATTATTAAGTTTTAAACGTGTACACACACACATGTCTACGAAACAAATAAATTATGAAATTAGTACATATTATCAGTTTATTATTCTTAATCACTTATACTTTAACACAGTTACGCAAATTTCTATAAGCGCCGAGCGTCTTTAATATCTTGTCGGTGATTGTACAAAGAAAATACATTGTTGCTTTAAAAAAATACGTAGATAAAATAGATTCTCTTTATTAAAATAAACAACTATGTGTTTTCTTTACACCAAATGATTTATCTCATTGTTCATCAAAGTATTAAGGTACGATTTGTTCTTATGAATTTAAATATATCGTAATATCTTATATTGATTAGAGATTTAGAAAGGACGAAACTATTGTAATCTTCCACATACATGAGCTATTGGTAGAGGATCGCTGGTTTAAACGATACCATAAACGATAAATTCATGAACTTCTTATAGCACAAAAATACGTCGCTGTTCAATATACCTTTGTTCAAATTCTTATTGATAATATAGAAAACGTATTGCGGGTTCTTTCCTTTATTTGTCAAGACATCTCTCCGTAACTGTAAGGAAATTGTAAGGTATCTTCCAACTCGCTTATCTCTATACGTAACAAAAATTTTTTAAGTAGAATTATTAATATTCAGAGACCTTTAAGAGTCTTTAATATCATTTTAGCATCTTGTATTATACATCCCTTTCCATATATTATACTTACAAAATAAAATCACGTTTAGATAACATAGCACAAATAAACAAGTAGTAATTCAGCGAGGTATATATAGTTGATTGTATATCGTTTCACAATGTTTGCTTTATAATTAATTCTTTTGTATAAGGAGCATGAAAACTTACACTGCATCTTGATGTGAGAAAATAATCATTTTAAATTAATTGTTTTTTAAATGTTTATTAAATGTTTATTATATTTGTTATAACATTTATGTATATATCCTTTGTACACGTAAACGTTTCGATCTTCTATTGGATCGTCTTTAGTAAGTTTACAATAAAATTTTAACTATTCTTTGCTATATTTTATCTCTAATTATCGGTTATTAAATTAAAACATTTTTTAATTTGCTCACGTTTTGATTGCGTTTTGGTATATGATTGCTGTCTGAACGGGTTCTCTAAATATAGCAAAAAAATTAATTCAAAATGAAATTTTTTCTATTCCTCTGTTTCTATTTGCGGTCCGAAACTAGTTTTATATGTTTGTGGGGATCGAATTCAGTTAAAACTAATGTCCTGGTTGCTTAGTATGTGCATACAAATGTTTCTAACCACAGTAATATACAGATTATTATTTCCACGAAATCGAGCTTACCAGAATTCTTCCTTCAAAAGTTACCATTTTTAACAAGAAAATTGTTAAGAGCATATAATAGACTTCTCACATAAGTCATTACAAATATGACTTTTGTCGCGATATTATACGAAATATTTCATATTGTTAATAGCTGGTCTTGCTGGTGTTTTGATTACACTATTCATCGATACGTGTCCGCTGCAACGGAATATTTCTCGACCTGAATTATTGCGGATACGGATTCGCAAAATCGCGTTAAGGGTATCTCATAATTGTGAAGACGATCTCCTAGACCGGATGTGGAACTACGAAGCGACAACTTCGGTTATTGTCCATGTCCCATTTCACGGAGTAGACATTTGCGTGATTCCTCGCGTGCTTGCACGCGCGATGTTCTGCATCCTCGCTACACTCCCGCGAAGATTAGTAAATAAATAGAACATGGTGTTCTTCACGCGGATATGTCGGCGTTTACTTGCGGATGTCAACGCCCGGTGGATCCGTCGGCTGTCGTCGCGGTCTTATCTGATCTATTTTGAAATGTATTTTATTTACTTGGGGTAAATATGTAAAAAAACATTATACTCTTACAATGAAAGTCCTTAGGATCAGAGTTGGGCATAATTGGTTAATAAATGTAATTGATAATTGTAATTACTTTAATTGCAATTTCCATGTAATTACAATTCCTCTGTATCTAATTATACTGTAATTGCAATTTCTTTCAAAATTGTGATACGATAGTCAAATTTGTAGCCCTTAATTATTTTGGTGGTTTCTACTATTAAGATATAAGATATCAATTGAATTTATAATTTATAATGAATAAAAATATTTATAATTTGAATAAATAAATTGAAACAAAATAGTAAATTTTATTATTTTTCATATTTACAAGAATATAACAATATCGATATAATCGATCATAATCGTGCCTTTTTTTAGAAAGAATATATTTATATAATATTCTATAAAGCATTAATTGCTCTTAGTCTAGTTACAATTAGGGGAGAGGTCTAAATCGGACCTATTTGCAGTTTTTGTTCTCCATAAGGTGTAAATAAAGTTTGATTTTAAAATCAATGGTACCGTTCGAAAGATCATTTAATTTCCTTCATTTTTGTTTGAGATCATTTTGACGTATCTCTTATCTGTGTCGAATTATAATGGAAAATGTAAAAATTTTCCGGTCCGATTTGAAACTATAAGTTTGAATCTTATTGTGTAAATTAGACATTTCTATAACTTGATTTATTAAAAAAACAGCGCTGGTAAATTTAACTTCTCTTATTTGCATGTGACTTCCACGACCCTTGTTCGATAACATAACGATCAAGTTTTTTTCTCTGGCGACATTAGCTGTTCCATTGTTTACCACATTGTTGTCTACGATATAGATCAATTTTCAAGTTGAAAAACACCACATTTTTATGAAAAAATGACAGTCAAATTATTCTATTATAATTCTGTTATTTCTTTTATGATCCTGAACAGATGTTTTTATTGTCACAACTATAAAAAATAAAAAAATAAACAAATATAAAATTTTAGCGAAGTCGATAGTCGGTTCTCATATTTAAGATCGTATTAAGTCCAATTTTAATATGTCATAAACCAATCATAGGCCATTATTTACTGTTGATTCGTATATTTGAAATTGTAAGTATACAATCTTAAGACGTCACGCATGAACTAGTCAGAAGGAGGTATATTCATCTGTTTTTATTTTAAATTTGTTTTAAGTAATGTCTTAAGATGCTAATACGGTTCTCTAATTAGTTCATGACATTTTATATTCTTAAGATCCTATAATATAAGATCCAACTATTTCAAAATTGTTTTAAATAATATCTTAAGATATTAATACGATCTTCTGATTGACTTATGACATCTTAAAGACTATACTTAAAACAATCTCAAATATAAGAATCGACTATGAATACTGACTCTATAGTCGATTCTTATATTTGAGATTGTTTTAAGTATAGTCTTTAAGATGTCATAAGTCAATCAGAAGATCGTATTAATATCTTAAGATATTATTTAAAACAATTTTGAAATAAGAATAGATTATGAATACCCATATTAGCAGTAAGACATTATTTAAGACAATCATGAAATAAGAATAAATTATGAATATTAATCAAGAATCTGAGTATCGCCATATATTTTTTATAGTATATAATTTGATGCTTTTTCTTTTTTACATATGAGTACAGGTATGCATATATTCGTGAAGTATTGAGAGCTCTACGTGTGTGTGGGTGTAGGATGTGTGGGTATGTGTGTGTGAAGTCGTACTTTTTATATGTATCAATTCTACGGCAGAATTGATAGAAATGGATATAGAATGTATAGGTTAAAATTTGTGAGGCCATACAAAAAATAAAGCATGAAGAACGAATGGCATGAAAACGAATCATTTAGAGATTCTCAGAATGGAACAGGTTAAGTCATGTGATGTGACGTACTCTGTATGTTCCATGCCGCAACGTTCTGTATTGATCGGACGACATCAGCTGTATGCTAGTAGCGTTTATACCAGGATAGACGCCCGCCGGCCTGACTGCCACTGCCCACTCCACTTGCTTATAGTGTCCCCTTTTCTTTTCTCTTGTTCAATGATGTCAATGTGTCACTGTTATAATGTTTCTAAAAGACGGCGAGCGCGCGCGCGCAAGAATTCATTCAATATAGAGAACTAAAATTATTTTATTCATTTGTGAAATGTATACTTTTTATATTCTTTCTTTAATCTTAATATTATTTAATCAAATAAAAATCTGAAATTAAAATTTAAAGAGTATCCTTGAAGTAGATAGATTACACACAGAATAGATACGTACTACAAAATATTTTGGAATGAAATGTCTCATCAAACTTGATTTTTTATGAAGACCTTTTCCTTAATATTTATATCTATAGAACAACTAAAACGATGTATGATATAACAATTCAGTTTTTGAACATGGCCGGAGACAACCCGCGTCTCCTAATATTATTTTACAAATTACACAAGTTATTTTGGTAGGTGATTACCTTTTTGATCCTGCGGTGCCGCGGTGTGGTCAACTTTCGATTCTTACATTGATCAGGTGACGATTAATTGACTTACACGTCAATCGTCAATGAGAGAGTTAGATATTGGCCACACCTCAGGCTCTGCAGAGTCGAAAAGATTTACGAAAAGATAGTAATCGCGCCCGCAAAATTTTAAACCGGAATAATTTCTATAATTTGTAAAATAATTTTATTATATCATACATCATATCATTATATTTGTTAGAACGGATGCTACAACTGTTGTATCGAAATATTTATTTTATATTAAAAATTAAGCTTATTTTTCCGTTTTCTAACATAAATAATGGTAACTATTGATAAAAGCTTGCCGATGATCTTGACCTTGACATATGTTGTCAAGATCATGACTCTGAGTAACCTCCTACAAGTTTGTTGAACATTAATTGTTAAAAAATTAACAAATACAGTTGACAACATAAGTGTATACGTTTAACTTTTTCTCTCAAAATGAAATAAAGCAGACAAATTTTTTTATTTGAAACACATTCTTTGAACCATCTCACTTCCTCTTCTTTATTATATTCCGTTTTTCGTACTATGTGTTATTGGTACTTCCACTCTACTTCATTTCGTGTAGAAATTCGTGCACCTTTTGATAGCGGGAGATGAGGTGGACCTCACTTTGCGTGAAAAATCGTGCGCCCTCTTAGCAGGGGAGCGACCTCGCTTCGCGTGAAAAGTGAATGTAATCGGGAATAAAAATTCAATACTTTAAAATGTCATATCTTAAAAGAGTTCGCCACGTGCGCTCGCGCGACGTGATTCGAAATGTGCGTGACTCAGCGTTATATCGACTTTAATTACATATAAAAATCGAAGTTGTTGGTGAAGTTTAACCATTTCGTAATGATTACCTAAATAATTTTTCTCAATGAACAGCTTAGTTACATTACCAGAAATATTATGATAAAAAATTATATAATTTTATTTAAAAAACATTTATGCTTTTTTCAGTTTGAAATAAGACTAGAGAGAGAATAATTTTAATTAAGTAATCCTATTTTTTCTTAGAAAAAATTTCTATTTTTATTTAAAACAGTCTTTAAGCTTTAGTTATTTAGTACACAATAAAAGGTCATATCAGTGACTATAAATTTGTAGTTCAACAGCGTCTTAACTGTGAAATTCATCGATTGATCAATCGCAAATGTTAATCTTGTTCCGTAAAAGCTGCATTTTTATATATTTTATATGCGATTGATCAATCGATGAATTAAAAACTCGTATTGTGCCGCCCTTTGCTGCCAACAAACTCGCTGTTTTTTGCGCAAGCATCCACACCCGCACGCACGTTAACGTGAGCATTTCCGGATACACGGAAATGATGACGCACGGTTTTTGTACAAAAAGCTCGTTTATTTGACACGGAAGTACAAAAGCGTGGCACGATCAGCCAACGCGGACATTAATAGGTCACTGTTCTCTTTTTTTTTGTCCCGAAGACTATTTCGTGGCTACTTCACGTCTCAAAGAGAAAATCTACTGTTACTTACTACCACACAGCTAGTAGTATTTGAGTTTCAATTTTTAATTTAATTTGATGCAATAGTTTTTTTTTTTTGAGGATTGATTTTTGACAGAGAATTATTACTTGGATTGGAATTGGGAAAAGAGATTTTCAATACGAATATCTTTGAGAGAAGAATTAAAACTACTATTACTTAGGTTAGACAATCCAACTTAGGTTAGAAAATCTAGTAAAACACTTAGGTTTTACTAGAAAAACGTGTAATCGTCATTTAACGTATCAGGAGGCACAGTAGTGTTTCTGTGTTAAATCAAGTGTAGCGACACTACCGTATACTTAATGCGAAACCACGAGCATATTTGTTATTCCAAGCACGCAACATCAAGTTTTTATATCAAAGATTATTATTATATTATTGAAATACGTGAGTGATGTTGATTAAATGTCATCATCATATCTATAGCATAAAGATAGTTGTGTCAATAATTTTGCTAATACTGATTTTTTTAATCTTGTAATATCATGTCGGTTATGATAGAACATAGGAGATAATTGTAACCTTGTTATATTTTATGTAACAAAGTGCCAGAAATCTGTTTATAAAAATTTTATTAAACTATATATAGATTAATGTAGAATGGAGAATAAAAAAAACATAAATTCAAATTTTTAATAACATTTAAGATGTATTTTAACGTTAAAATATTACTTTTCTGTTTCAGATGACATAGAATGGGTTGGGTGGCGCTAGGGCGATGTGCGAGTGGTGGCGGCCGCCTCTCATCTATCCTCTCGCTATCTCTCACCTCCTTCGTGAGTTCCTTAATCTTCACATCCCTTTGTATCCTCACACTTGCCCTTACACTCGTCTCTCTCGTTCGTGCCGAAGACATGTACGTATAGCACACCATATAAAATAATCACCATATACGAATTGCCTTTTAGCTTCTCGAACGTCCTTCTATCATAATATGCTATTTTATGATCCGGACACTGACAAGTCCATTCATTCGAATCCTTTTACAGTGTTAAAACTTTCAAATGAACTAATGATTTATCTTATTTGATACTATACAATTCTTGCCATCTTCTTGTGAGAGATGAAAAATAAGACTTATCGTATTTTTGCTTACTCTCAACTTTTAGCCTATTTTACATTTACCGTTACATACTGCAATAGTAAACATTCTTTCAATAACTAATACGGATTTTGCAGTAAATTATGGATTCTGCAGTAACGAATACAGATTGGTGTGTGATTAAGATTTATTACTGATTCGGTATTGTATTATTCCATAATTATTATGATAACGATTAATAATGATTTCTAATACACGTTACTATACGCACGGAAATTAAAGCATCACGTATCACATGTTTAAAAAGTGGATAACAGTATAATTTATACGAAAATGGTTAGAATAAGATGTTCAAAAAAGTATTTTAAAACTTGAAATCTCTTTTTAGATCTTTTCAACTAATGATTTGACAGATTTTTATGGAGTTACACAGTTACACATAAAGATCCGTCAAATCTCGAAATTTTTTACGAACTTTGCAAAGTGTTACAGAAATGAGAAGTCAAGCATAGTAAATACAGTTTACAGCTATCCAAAGTGGATCTGTGAAACTAGCACGACATTCTATCGATATAAAAGAAAAATACAACAGTTCCAGTAGCACTTTTCGTAGTTCTATACTGTTCCTTATATAAATAAACAACAGTTCCGTATTTGTAATACTAAAAAATTAAAAATGAAAATGTGTTAATGCAGAACTATTGTTTATTTTTATAAGGAACTATATAACTATGAAAAGTGCTACTGTTGTAATTTTTTTGATATCGACAGAATGTTGTACTAGCTTCACAGATCTTTCAAAAGTATGAATTTACTTTTATTCCAAAATTGTGTTAATTTACTTTTATTTCGAACGTTGTACATTTCTTTTATTGAGTTATTCAACATTGAAGCAAAAAACGTTATTTTGACTTTGATCGCTCATAAAAGACGAATGGAGTAACGCACAATATTCGTAAAAAACGAACAAAAATGTAAAAGATGAAATTAAATAATTACTTGTTTCTATTCATCTCGATTTATTTCGGTTAAAAAAGGAGAGGAACCCTACAGTGTCAACGTATAATAGTTTTAAGCTTTTTAGACTCTACTAAAAACGAGATCAAAAGAAAGATTACGATATCCTTTAATCAATGTTTTTCATATTTGAAGTTACGACTTTAGGCAAAACGGCGTCCGCTTTACTGATTCTATTCTTATTCGCAGCAGGCGATCATAGCAGGCACTGTCATTAGCATTACTCGAAGCATGCCAAGTGGAGATTGCACAGTCGGATTTACGCTTCTTGTATACGTCATGCGCGCATGCGTGCGAGGCTGTGTGCGTGCGTGCGTGTGTGTGTGTGTGTGTTATGAGTGTATGCGTGCGTGCTCGCGTGAGTACATAATAAAAAATTACAATTTTAGTTTTAGGTATTGCTACCTCTATTATAAATAACATGCTTAAAGATGCTCCATGTTTATACGTTGTTGGATTGATGTTTGTGAAATTTGATGTTAAATTTGACGGAGAGCTTCCGTCAACTGCCCTAAAGTTCTTAATCATAGGTATACTGTTATCATAATCGACGCTAAAACATATTCCAGATATGAACGATTGGATTGAGATCAGATCTCAATCGATGGTAAATTTAAAATGTTGACATAATTTTCTCTGAGAAATCACTCAGAAATGTGTAATAAACGCAATATAGCAACGGTCACTATTATGCATAAGTATGAATTTATGCTTTATCCGATTACGCACTGAAAGAACGTGCGAACGCAATATCTCGTTGATATATTACCTAGTCAATTCAGAAGATAGTATAATAACAAGTGGAGTGTGTAAATCGAGATATAGTACCACAGCGGAACCACCATAAAAAAAGATTTAACTGGCATATGGCAATTCTTATCATTTAACTGTCCACGACGATGCCATATTTGTGCTCGTCTGTTATTCTGGCACAAAGAAAATCGTACGGTGCAGCAAATGATGGAAGTACTCAAATTTGGCGTCAAATTTCACAGACAGCAATTCGACTATGCATAAACGTTTTATTGTAAACGAAAATTTGACTTACAAAGACACATAACATTTAAAAAATCTATTTTTCTGCGTTTATGGGATATGAAACTTTTTTACTATTTCATATGAGTTTCAAACAATACACTTTTTTTTGTGATTGACTAAAGTTCCACAGGGAGGCCAAAGATTAAAATATCTTTCTTTGTTTTCTTCCTTTCGATTTGTTTTCGAATATTACGATTAGAAATGCTGTTTTTCTGCATTGCCAACATTCTTTCTTATTTATCAATTTAAAGTTCTCGCTATTTTCATTTCCATTTTTTTTCGAACTGTTTATGTTCTCCGTTTTTTCGCAGCTCATCAAACGAGAATCGCGCATAGAAAGAACATTATCTTACAATTAGTAAGTTTAAAAACAAAAATATTAATATTTAAAATTCTAATTGGTTAATAGCGGTATACAATGGCTCGGAAACGTAAAGCGGAATTAATTCAGTTCCCGTCAACTCTCTTTCAGTCTGGGAAATCAGAACAATTGTATTCCTCTTCTTTTAAGCGCTTACGAATTTGGCAAAATCTCACGGTGCGAAAATAATGCTTTGGGTGGCTTGAATGCAGCAGCGCGGACGCAACAATATCACTTAAAATATTTAGATAAATTTAGTTGTTCTCTACTTCATCAACACTGTCTTCTACAGAAATTACACTTATGTTAGGCCTGTATTAACAGTTAATTCTTATATTCAAGATCACCTTAAGTTTAGTCTTGAAGTGTCACGAACCAATCAGACGACCGCATTAGTATCTTAAAATATTACTTAAGATGGTCCTAAAATAAGAACCTACTACCAACCTTAATTTTATATCTTTGAGCTCTCACGCCGCGTGCAATAAAACAAATATTGAAATCTAACAATAATGGTTATAGAATTGCACATAATTAAATAATAATATTTCTCAATAATAATAATCTATTTTTTTAAAACAATATCACTTAATTTTAATTTTTAAATATTACTTTTTCAGCAAATGTTATTCTGTTTTAGTAAGCAGTAAAGATTAAAAGTTGAGATTAAACGAAATTCAGTGACTATTATTGTTTTTCAATTCTCAATAACGAAGTTCAAGAAAAAAAAAAATGTGTTAAGGAGAAAACCGTGATGAAAAATGAGTCGAGAAGCTAAATCTGATTGTATTATTATAGAACATCAATGTTTAGATTAAAATGAGAGAAAGAAGTATTACTAGCAATGATTAATGCACTGTATCAGCATTAATATTGTGTATTACCTGTAATAATTTCATGTTTTATTAAGTTATCCGAAATTATGTATTGTATAATAGAGAAAGGTCATCGATACCGACATGTTATACTGTTTTTAAACAATATTTCATAAACAATCTCTACAGATCGAAATATTGCAGCAATATTGCTGCATTCAGAGTCGATTTTAGGTGGTAAGCACGGTAAACGGCGCGTCTTGAAACGCCTTTTTTTTAGTATTTAATTTATATTATGTTTAACAATTGTATCGTTTAATTTATATTTACATATGTGCGTATAAGATGTGTAAGGTATATCATGTATGTTAAATTTGAAAATTTTATACAATTCATGTTTATTTATTCAAAATAAAAATACAGAATAATACTCGAAGTGAATTGCAATGTTCACGAAACGTTGACATTCTAAGAATGGATTCGGACACGGAGAAAACCCGCGAAAAGCATAGTTTATATATAAAAATACAAAATAATTTATTCTGTATTTTAAACGAATTGGTCAGTAAACATAATTTATAATACAAACATTAGCAGACGTTGTAAATCAATAGATATTTTGTGTGAATTAATCATATTAGAAATTTTGTTATTGTTATGTATTATATAAATGAGAAGGTATGAGAGAGAGAGAGAGAGAGAGAGAGGAAGGCGCTTTTTAGAATTTTGCATAGGGCGTCAAAAATGCTCGAACCGGTCCTGGCTGCATTATTGAAATTTTAATATTTTGTTTGAAATATTGCAGCGACCGGCAACATTGTTGCAATTTTTGTGATATAGCGCATTATTAAAATATTATTGCAACTGAAATATTGTTGTATTTTTTGCTGTAAGTGTAAGCAAAAATAATGAGTATATGATAAAATGGGCCTAACGTATAATATTATAGAAGGCAATAAATGTGCACATATTGCTATTTTTTTCTTTTCACAGAAATCATTTGTACAAAATACCTACAAGTGAAGGTATATAAGATTTTCCATAATCTTTTCACATCGTTATAAAATGTTTTTGTTGATTTATATTCATACTTATGCCGTTCTACAAGGCGCAAACATGTAATGTAATAATTTCTTTTTTGAGAGTTTTCTCATAAATACGTGATTGCCTTTAGCTTCGATATGATCATTTGACTATAACGCAAAGACTATGAAAGATTAAGTTTGCTTATGGTCTGTCTTACAGACAGGTGTGTCGGTTTAAACTGTACTCCTATTTTATATTTAGAACCACATATTATGAAAAAAAAAAAAATGAAAAAGGAAAAGTATATAAATAAAACTGATTTATAAAATTACAAAAATATAATATAAAAACATGTAATATTGTTAATCAATAGTCATTATTGTTTAAACTATGCATTTTGCAAAGAAAATAAAAATTTTATTTTCTCATTTGTATAATTCGTTTCTAGCTAATTTTGTATAAAAATAAGCCATAAATAATATCTCAAAGAGCTTGGGTTTGTGAAAAGAAAAAATTCATTTAAAGATTATGCATTAAAAATTTGTTTATTGCGATTTATCAAGCCTATGAAAATTTGGAAACCAATCTAAAAGATTCTTTCTACTATCAGAAGGAAACTTGAGAAAGGAAATATGAAAGCTTTTTTCCGCAAAATACGTTACGCATGTACTCTTTTAAAAAAAAGAAGATGGTCTCTTAGAAAATTTATCAATATCGATGACTTTCCTCTAAATATAATAAATTTGTATGAAAATTATTTTATTCTTATATTGCAAATTTGAAAAGAATATAATTATTACATTTTACGGTTCTTTTATCGTAAAAATCGTTTCACTTTTAGCGTAATATATTGATTTGAGTCTTTGAATTATACATATAGTTTTTCGATCGTGTACGCGACTATGAAATCAATACCTAACATATGTAATCGCACATTGTATTTATGAGATCAAGTACACATCTTTCTTTCTTAGACTAAAGCGCTTTACACACAGACACACACACACACACATACAAAATTGATTACTTACAAGTTTATTTGTTAGAGGAAAAAGTGGTATTATATGGCCAGTGTGAATATAATGGCTCTTCTTAATATCTCCACTATTAAGTGGCGAATTTGAATGATTGCTTATGGAATTTTTTTGTTTAGTAATTCGCTGTTAAGCCGACGGCACACGATACTTGTTTTCTTGCTGGATTTCTAGTTAGATTATATTTTTTCCACAGTATTGGTTGCAATACTGGTGTTGTCAATACGGCACCCAATATGATGGCAAGATTATGATTTAGCTAGGAATCCAGCAGTAAAACAAGATAGTATGCCGCCGGCTTTACATCATGATATTTATGATACTAAAATGCCAATACATAATACTTTGCATTTCTTATAACGCATTTTTACTTTCAAGCATTGTATGTTTTTAAGATATATTTTAGCATTTAGTTACACATACTTTTTTATTTTTCTTAAATTTGAGCATATTATTATACGAATATATGTATTTTTATTTCAGTACGTTATTTATTATTTAACATTTTATTTGATTGTATAAATTTCATGTTATCCAAAGTTAAACAATAGCATGGAGTTTTGCTAAAGTGGCTTCCTAAATGTTATACTGAATACCTCTTTTTCGACGTTATTAAAATATTATTCATAAATTAATTGTAGCTCTATTGTTTGTCTATAGTTTGTTATATGTACTACAGATTTTTAACAACTTAGCAACCTCTGTGCAGAAAAAGTTATATATACGTATTTATATTTAAACTCCTTCTGCAACAGTTTTTTTTGTTAACTTTGTAACCAAATAGTTTTTTTTTATTAGTAAAAATCAATTTTTTAATCTATTTTTATGAAATTACAATATTATGCAGTATCGCTATTTGTTTAGAAACAGTTTTTAAAGGAATAAATATTTAATAAATAATTTTTAATAAATAAATAATTTTATTGAACAATACTTTAACCGTTAAATTTTACAAATGTATGTAATCGTTAAATTTTAAATTTAAATATTGATTATTAATCAAACTATTTTATAAAGTGTAAGTGGGATGCCATAATACCACTTTGTTCTCTACTTTATTATGCATTTTAGTCGAAGAGAGTGAGATAAAAATTACAGTTTTGATAGAAAACTTTTTCTGCATGTAAAAATATTTATTCAAAAGTTTTAGACATCAAAAATAGAATTCATCTTACTGACATCACTAATGCGCTGGTAACAATACGAAAATCATGTATATTAGTATCATGAACGTTTTGATTGTACTATTGCATCAAATGTATAATTAAATGTAGACCAGTGATGAATTCTTTAACCTACTTTAGAGCATAATATAGGTGAAATTAGATATAGTTTTATATAGTGCTATAGAGAGCATTATTTCTATTGGTAGATTTTTATATGTACATATGTCTTAAATAAGTACAGCATATACATGTTATACTTAAAAGAGTAAACATAACTTTATCAGGGTTAATCTCGAAATAAATAATACTTTGAATTCCATGAAGTTTTCTCATCTTCTGTATCAATTTGCAAATAATAACAAATATTATTAATTTTCATATCAATAAAATATTATACTATAACATATTATATTTTTTATGTTCGAGTTAACCAACTGTTGCTCGATCGTAGCAAAATAAAAATATGTTGCAATTTAATATTTTACAACGTATCGAAACAAAGAAGACCATCTACTGGAAGTTTGCGGAAAACCACTAAATGCACCGTAAACTCGTCAGGTTTCTTCTGGATATATCTACAATGCATTATGTTGCAGTTTCGAGGAAGGAAAATCGGACAAGGAGATTCTGGACAACCTGTTACAATCGACTCGTTACGACAAGCGGCTTCTGCCGCCGGTCCAAGGTACAAAGAGGCTCCCATTCCACTGCCAAAGTCAAGGCAACTAAACTTTCACCTTTATATCCAAATGACCCTCGATCATCCAGAGCACCTCAAACCGGCATACCAAGAGCACCGCTACCACTACACAGCACCATACAACCACAGCTCACTGCTCACTCCTTGTCGTAAGAGTACTTCTTGTAATAGATGTATTCTAAAAAATATGATGTGAGGAAAGTGTGCAAAACAAATAGAAAAAGAAAGATAGGATGCGTGACAAATAGTAAGAAAAGGCAAGGCACAACGAACAATATAATATCTTCCTTCTCCTATTCAAATTGTGGTTAAATTCTTCCATGTTTGCGAAGAAAAATTTTTATTTAGATGTAATGATGTTAAAACGTTTTTTTATCAATTTTAAATAGATCCAAAAATTTAAAGACAATTAAGCTCAAAATGCATTTTAATACCTATATACTATATTAATGCAATTTATAAGATTGAAATATAATCAAATTAGATTATAAATACATTAAATGATATTTATAATGTTTTATAAAGTCATTTTATAAAATATTATTAACAACTTCACAATGTTGAATATATCATAGACATAACAAATTGTAACAACATTTGTTTTGTACATATATGTATATACATATATGTGATTCGTACATTATACAGAGTGTATCTAATCACTTGCAATGGGACACACTACTAACTACCAGATTAAACGTTTTGTCCCGATTCTATCAATCCTACTTGGGACAAAATCCATGCCTGATTAATGATTGTACATAATTATACATACTCATACAAAATCATGCATTAAATAATATGTGATTTTAAATGCTAATTTGTGTGATCGCATATAATCATTAGGGCCTGTTCGGACTCGATGTTGGATTGCACACAGAGAACGGCTGCGTGAGTGATTCGACTGCTTGCTAGTGAAATAGCGACATTTCTCAGGAAGACCCAACGCTCATTGATTAACTCCGATCTGTCCGAATATGATATATTATCAGAGTATCCACAAAGTTACGGAACGGCTAAATAATTTCTTAAGAAAACATTAAATACAAAAATGTTAAGGTTGAAAACAAAGAATTTGATAGTGATCTTGACCCAAAGGTCAAATTTAGAAGTTATTTCAAGGTCAACTTGAAGATTATAAATGGAAATCCCCATTTGTTTATCTTGGAAAAAACGGGGAATTTTACGTCCGGATATGTATTTAGTCATTGGATTAAAGTGATCCCTGAGGGTTATTTGAAGGTAACTTGAATTCATCGATTTTCGAAATAAGCGTTAATGAAAACGTTCAATCCATAAAGTAAATTCATACACGACGATTATGACATTAATGTGAATGCAATGTCTGGTCACAATTGAGTCAAGCTCATTTCTATTATAAATCATTCAGGAACTGAATAAATTTTCCCATGTAAAATCATGTCAAAAGATCAATTAGAAAAATAAGATTACTTTCAAATATTTTTCATTATGCATCAAATTTTTCATCACGACTGTTTTTCATAGTACATACTGTGTGAAGAATTACTGTTCTCTGAACCAGGAAATTTCCGGTTGGTATTGTTTTCTTACGAAGATTTCTTATCGATTATATCCGTTTGTTGAATAAGAATTGTTAATGAGATTTTTCATTTAATAATGGATTAGCTGTTTTCTTTTCAACTATCCATTGGTTTTGTTATTTTAAGATCCAAAAAGAAATAAGTTGAGTTGTTGATCAGAAATCATTAAAAAAGTTGAACAAATACATATCCAAAAATTTCCATCTGTATTATTTTACTGTCCGCAAAAATGTAATGTCTTATTGAACAAGAAAGAATATCTCTCAAAATGATGTAGTGCCTCAAAATACTCCTAGTACTCAGTAGTACTTTTCTACAAGGGTACAGTTCAGTGGAATTTGCGTTTCAAGACTGGAAAATTATTTTATCGCGCAGTTTAAAAGATTATATACGTAATATATAAATTTACACAGAATCACAAGCATTTAAGATCCAGCTAGATCTAAAGGCATTTATTTTCTGTAGGTTTATATTGTTTGATAATAGTATATAATATAGATTCGTCGTTAACTTGGTTTGTTGATTTGGAGATGTCAAGTTGCTGGGCGAACTCCTTGTACGTTCATTCTTGGGGTCCATTTCACGCTGCAAATCTTTGAAACATTCTTTGATTGGTTAATTCGTAAAATACTTTCTTCTGATTGGTCAATGAAGCATTTGCAGCGTTAAATAGATCACACCCCTTGTCTGTAGTCCTTTACGATGATTTTCTGTTGTCATCCTTATTTCAAGCATCACAGGTGTTTGCCATAAACATTAAATCTAGTAAAACATTAAATCTAAAATTAAGTCATGATGGTAAAAACCATGGCTGCAACATGAAAAGCAAAGAAAGTAGAAAAATGCGAGAGAGATTTTGGAAAAATTAATAAAATTTTTAAAAATTATAGTATATATATTGTTAAAGCTCAATATATTTTATGTACAAAATGCACTTGTCACCTGGTGTGTACAAATTTGAGCGTATTTGATTCGAACTCTAACGAAAATTGTACTAAAAAAATCGAAAAATAATATAATTTTGGCTGATATACTAGTATATCAAAAGCTGTATGCGCCCTTTCAGGGTCTTACTAAATCTTCATGTTTCTTTGTGTTTGTTATCAAAGATTTCAGAATGAAACAGTTCGTTTTATTCTAGCCTTTAACTCAGGTCTGTTTTCTATTCATGCACTAAACTGCATTAGAACTCCTTCTCGTTTTTGCCGAATATCAAATATAATATATGTACCTGCAGAGAAAAACCTGAGAGAGAATATGAGAGTTTTTTCCTTGTAACCATAAAATGCTGCTGCGCATTACTGCCGTCTGAAAAAGTGGATGTAAACTACACAACAATATCCACTCTTTTATGGTATTTCTGATGGAAATACATCGCTGAAATAACTAAAATTTATCAAATTAATAAAAATTTTAACGATTTCAGCGATTTATTTCCATCACGAGCGCCGTAAAAAGATGGATATTGTTGTGTTGTTGATATCCACTTCTTCAAAAGGCGGTAGTGCGCAAAGCATTTTGCGGTTACAGGTAAAAGACTTTCATATTCTCTCTCAAGTTTCTCTTTAGTATCTATCTCATTTTAAGTTCCAAAACTGTATACTTTTGGACTAAAAAGTTATAACATTTTTTAAAAATAATATAAAAAAGCCACTTTTTTTAAAATAGGTTTCGAAATACAGCTTACTCACCAAACGATTAGTTCTTGTGGATCCGTAGGTAAGAAGCAGTCGTTCGATGAATAGGCTGCATTCCAAAACTCATTGAAAAGAAAACTGTTACAACTTTTTATGATTATCGCAGGCAGAGTGCGGTAACACTTGCCACGCGGCGTAAGTTAGTGGCCAATCATTGTTTCGTTTGGAAAAGCGATAAATTGATTGGCTCTCCCGTCAATTCTCGCCTCGTATAGCAAGTGTTACCGCGTTCTATATGTAGAAGCCATTAATCCATGAATATACAATGTTAAGTTGCGATAAAAAATTGCACTAATGTAATAATATTGTTTAAAATATATTTATTTTAATAAGAGATACATATATATACGTGATATCGTATGATGAGGTTACGCCGATGTATCATTTCGAGGAAATCCATAGTGGAACGGAACACTCGGACCGATCATAATAGTTACGTTCAGCAGAGAAAACTGTGAGTGCTCAATGATTCTTTAATATGATTGGTTCTTGTGTTTTTAGTTCTTCTCTAGATCTAAGTGTAAAAACCCATCATATCAAAGAATCACTAAGGGCTCACTGATCAGTTTTCTCATTCCGCTGCGAATTTTCTCGCAATGGGACACCTTCATACCTGACATTGTCGACTTTACCTTAAGTAGTTTTAAGTTTTATGACATATCATATATGTTTTATGTTTTATATCAAGAATTTACATATCCTAATACACTAATATAAGCCTTATTTGATTTCACGTTTTTAAAAATAAAAACTATTGCATCTTATATTATCACAGTTAACCATATTTACTCGAACTCTAAGTAACTCGAATTTTTCCATATTTTATTTTTCTGACTCTACCCACGGCTGCATGGCAAGAAATCATAGATTCTTAATTACATTTTTGCATTCGTAACAAACGCCAGGAGGAAATTATTCTTTGTAAAATTACTATACCATATATACCTTATGTGATTTGTGTATATCACATCAATTTGCGTTCATATGAATTAATGTTTATGGTTGCTAAAGATAGCTAAGTAATCTAAAACGTCCCATCTAATGTTTATAAAATATTAAAAATTATTGTTAAATATATATTTTAATAGCTCGTTTATAGGCCTATCTTTTGCCCTTTATTGTTTTTAATGCGTACGAGTCAACTATTCTCTTTGTTCTTATTTTCGAACTCAAAATTACTTCATAGGCCAAGTTTCATCGAGAACGAGCAATTTACAAAATAAAAGGGGGTGCCCGTCTACAAATGGCTAAAGCGACATGATTGTGGACTATTCTACTCCATCTTTTATGATATTTGCTGTTGATGGTATAGGTAAGAAGCTTTTATGTTTTAAATATTTTTGTAATGATCATCATTCGAATATATGTGCAGTTTATAACAAACGTACAGAAAAAAATTAATTTTTTATTTATTATTAATTACGAATAATTATTTAAAAAATTAACTTCTATTTATTGTTAATTACGAACAATTAATTTCTATTAATTATAAATTTTGAAAGAATTAATTTATTTAATTTATTAAACAATACTAAAACTAATATATAAATTATTTCTGGAAAAAATTTCTTTAATATCGATTCTTTATCTGATTAAAAATGACGCAAAGGACATTTTTATATAAGCAAAATAAAAATAAAATCGAAAAAAAGTTTGTCACTATCGGAATTGCTTAATGAGAAATGACAATGGAATCGACGTCGAATTGGTGATTTCGACATCAATTCGATATCGATTTCATTATCATTTCTCACTGGGTGGAGCTTTCAATCTAGGATTTTAATTGTTTGTTTTAAATAATTTTATCATTTTAAGGTCTTAAATTATTAAATATTTGAGCAAACAGCAAAATGTGTACCACTAAACCTATTTCCAAAAATTTAATGTAGTCAAAGG